GACGCTCTAAAACATTTTGTTTCTTCAAGAAGTTTCATGATATACATGGGAAAGTAGCGTGCAGATTTCACTCAGAACTGCCATTTCACTGAAACTTTAACACCCTATTGCTCTTACCATTGACTGCAAGAAGCCACAGACAAGAAGAGCTCAGCAGTAGTTGAGTAAAGTCACCACTTCACTGATCAACTGTTATCTTAGTGAAGCATTACATTGGATTAATACATACTTTCACATTCTGATTTGCAGTCTGGCACATATTTACAGTAGCTTCTAGCTTCGTCAGTAGATCAGACATGCTTGCTTTCCTAAATACTAAAATCTCTACTTTGAACGACACTCTTTACAAAGATTTTAAGACCAATAAGATTTTTATGTCAGTTCACCTTCAGTCTTAATGTCTTCCCCAGTACTCACAATGGCAGCTAAACATGCAGCTCTGAACATGGGCTATTTTGGCAGTGAGTCCATGAATTAGCTCCATATCACTGAGCAGATTTGCATAAAAAGCGCTGTTCTAGAAATTAAAAGTGAACCAAACATGACATAGAACGGTTTTAACTTTTAATTATGGCTTCTTACAGTTTTAGTTCCATTTGATTTTGGCTCATTGGATTGTGCATGAAGTCTTCCGCCCATTTAAAAAATGATGGCAAATATTCTTCCACTTCCTGCATTATTTCTGTTTGTTTCAGATTTAATTGATACCTAAAAAATAAAGCCATGCATATTAAGGAGACAGAAATATTAGATTTGCTGCTGGTACTAACATGATTTTGCCGCAAGTTATAACAAGATTGATGGAAATAATTGTGAAGTTTGAATATAAAGTGTACATAGTGACAGATTCATTAAGGTTCAACTCAATTACTTCATAAAACTACAACTGAACTGTAACTGAGATAGGGTACACTATGTTCATTTCTGATGTAACTTTTGCAATGACAGGCGTAGCACAAGGAAAGCCTCAGCACAGTAGACATGATGAAACAACACTAATAGACTGCAAGAAAGGAGTAGACTCATGCATTTAAGAATTACTATTCCTATGCTTTATGCAAAATTGAAAACATTAAAAAAATTGAAAAGACCATTTGCTTTTTGTCTGAATAGACTGGTCTGCTACTTGCTCTTCATGTACATTTTGACCATCTTAATTGGAAAGGAATCATGATCCTCTCCAGTTGCTACAGTTACAAATACACAAAAAAGCAGAAGTCTCATTAAACAGAACCTAATCACGTGGCATTAGATAATTCAGTCCTGGCATTCACTGGAAATAATACAATTATTCTACAGCAACAGAGAAATACAAGGGGGTTTTACACAAATAGGTTCATACAAGTATGCAAGTGACCACAGCCAGCAGACTTTTATGTAACTTAATTTTACATCCCAACAAATAGTAGCCTACATATGCAAAGAGGAATTGCAAATCAACAGTTTCAAACAGATGCCCAGAGTGACACAAAAGCCTTTAAGTAATCTTAACATTTACAATTTAAAATATCCACCTTCACAACAGAAGTATAGTAATAAGTCTTGTTACAGTTTTGACTTCCAACTCGTCTGGAGCTAACAGATACTGACATGGTCCAACATTAAATTTATAATATTCTAGATATAGTTTGTTTTTTACTTGTCTTGAATTTTATTTTAATCAAGCCTGCAGTAAAATCTTAAAACGGACAGCCATTCACCTTTGCCATTTTCTGATGGAAATATGAAGACTATTTATTATGCTAGCACTTCTAATTAGCTTTGCAGAGAAAATACGTTAAAGGTCCTCTAGCAACTGAGCTGTTAAGTAACTTGAGGAAGAATATGAAAACAGCAGACATCTCAATGCTTGGTCAGTCACAAGCTTCTAGTTCATCTCCTGAGGGTCAAAAGGAATTATGCTTGTCACATTTAACTCAACTTTGGGAGATGCCTGGAAATCTAATGTTACAGGCACAAACACTCCAACCTGCTTGGCCTGAAAGAAAAAAGCCTATAGCTTTTATAGTTACTCCAGAAGCGTAATTCAGATCTATAGAAGTGGCTCAGCAGGGCAAATTAAATTACATTATGAATCAGGGAAATATTTTAGTGAAAGATACCCAAGTTTCATTAAGCAAGGTCATTTGGCAGAATATTCTCCTGATAGTAGTGCTACATTTTTTAAAGGAGAAAGTTTCAAGTGTTCCTACTCTGTCTTCCAAGCATAAAAAGATACCTGCAATGCTACTTACATTTCTTTGAGATACTTTTGTCCATATACAATTTTATGTGCTAGTTCTTCAACTTTCTCTTGTGCCAAGTTATTTGTTACCGATTGTTGGAAAATCTCATGAAGAATTGTACCAATGAGTGTTTGCCGTGAACCAGACTCGGAGCCCTGCAACAGACATTATATACACATGTGAAGATTTCTGCCCACTTCATGCAAACTCTTCTATAACATTTCTGGGTTTTATCTGCCGCACATGATGGTTAATTGCAAAATCATTAGACTTTTCACCTCACTAATTAATACCCGTTCAAACGTGACTGGGAATACTGCCAAATTATTGAAATGTGTGTCTCCTATTGCTTTATCTCTCATTTTTATCCCAAGCCTGATAATGTTAGGATACAATCCCTATGTGATTGACAGGTGAGAAACAAAAGGCACAGATTAAATTAATTTTGAGCAAGTTTTGCCTGCGGGGAGTATTAATAGCAGTCTTTCCTACTGCAAATACCCACCTTTACAATCTTACAGATATTATTGTGTTGCATGACACAGTTTCCTGTGTTTTACCAACGCACATAAAATTATTCCAAGTATCACCAGAATGGCTCAGAAACCCATCTAATCATCACCAGGGCTGGGCTCTGTAGACTCCTAAGAATTGAAAGTGGTAGTAAGTTATGACCTCTGCATGAGCCACCACCAAACTGGAAGTCTAACCAGCATGGTTTTTAAGTGCTTACTGATATCTTTTACAAACTTGGCACTTGCGGGTTCCACTCACAACTGGAGGGTGATTTTATCCTGAACTGACAACTGCCAAATGATTAGTTTATTCCTATTACTCCTTTAATGAAGGCCTGACACCATCTCACCCTGTACTTAAATTTCTTGTTTCAGTCACAGGCTTCCAGTGGCTGTTTACCACTCCATTCCAGTTCCCTTGTCCATTTGGATTTATAATTCCCACCATGTCTGGAAGTATTCCTCAAGTGAATCCGTGTATCAGTAAGGACACTACCACAAGAAACCTTTCCTCTTTCGAGTTCCAACGGCTAGACTCAGATTCCAGAGTAAGCACACACAAACCCCCAATTACAGCGCATGTATGTTCCAGCTTGATCTTAAGCTAAAGCCTGCTTCCAATAGGGTATTAAGAAAGAATCTTAACTGAATAGGCTGCTTTTTCAGCAGCTTTTAACTTGGCCAAGTGTGGTTATGTTTTTTATATGGCCGCCAGGAAGTGCATCTCTCACAAAGGATTCACATCCACACAAAACATGGCAAGAGATTACCAAAGAAGTTGCCAGAATTTTAAGTGGGAAGGCCATTTCTTTGTCCCATTAATGATATTAAGAATATAGGATTATTTTAGCCAAAATTCTCAAAAAACAGAAGCAGCTCAGCCAGATGCAGACAGTTTCCATTCTAAATTATACTGTGTTGTAAACATTATGAATAGCTAATAACACCATTTTGCAATACAGCATCTCAGCTGGTTTTAATAGAGCTAAACCACTAGTCTCAGTGAAACAGTAACTCACTGATATGCTCGATGCTCTAGGATTAACACTTACCCTAAACCTTTCACTCAGCACTGCTCTTCTCATGCATCGAATACTATTTGATATCGTAGTGCCAGAAAGCAGCAGATCTGGGTAAAGAACTAGGTATCCAGACTGTTCATTTATTATCCAGGTACCAGAGCTACACTCCCCTTCTAAATGAATGATGTCTCCTGGAACAACCGGAACAGACTCCCTATAATGTAATACATTTGAACAACCATTTGCAAGCTAAGGACACCACATATTAGAAATTACACATTAATGTTAGATTCAACATACATCAAAACAGGAGGTTATTGTGATTCTTCTTTAAGTTGATCTAAATACATTTTGAAAACGAATAAAGGATTTTTTACTGACAAAACCTCAATAATTTTGAGTACTGGATCATGCATCAGCACAGCCTGCATGTACGGAAATTCTTGCATGTATTAAGCCATTTCAGTATCGTTATGTTTTATACTGGCATACTACACTTTTTCCATTACATGAGATCTACCTTTTTACTTAACAACTCTACTTCTTTCAGAAACTCAGAAAAATCTAAAAATATTTTTTAAAGTTTCAGGATTGAAGATCTTTTATACTTGCTCCTCCAAGAAATTGAGTCTTAGACTTCTCTCCTCCCATCTTTCAGGCTTACATAGAGAATGAAAAGCTGTGCCAAATAGCATGTGCACACCCCTATGTTTCAAAAGACTAAGCTAGTCTTCTGTAACATACCACACAATGCACAAACACCTAAATTAGAATCCTCACCAATTCAACACTTGAAAAAACTTTTACAGCAGAGCTTAAGCTAAGGTGATTTTAACAGACTGTATAAAACCTCATGTTTTACAGACATAGCTTTGTACATTTATACGTACAATGAGCGTACATCATTTAGGAGAACACTTATAATTGTTGCAAGACAACACTTCAACAAAAACACCCTGCCTAATTAGAGCTTATTGTCTTGCTGTTTGTTAGTACAAAGACAAATTAAAACTTTAAGTTAGAAATAGCAACTCAACACAAATTACACGACATGAGTTCTCTCAAGATGAATATCCATTACATTAATATAGTGACAATATGACATTAGATAAAAGTGGTAAGAAATCCTGAAACAACCTTTAAGAGAGTAAAGCTCATCTCAAAGGCAACACAAAGGAAAGCGACTTAGTAACTCAGTATTTCATACTCTTTCCAGGCATCAACATTTCTGTATGGATTACCAGCCGTTCCTAAGAATGCACAGTTCTGTATCTTCCAGTGACTGAGATGCTGTGATTGTCAAGCGTTTCTCAGGGTCACTTCCGTTTCTCTGTATTACGTTGACTTCCAACACACGGTATCTATTGTTCAACCCATTCTTAAGTATTGTGTCAGGGGAATCAGCCACTTTCTTCTGAAAACTGAAGTAACAATTCATTATAAAGACATAACACTATTAGGAAACAGCCAAGCCATATACAAGAAGAGGGAAAGCTTCAAGCGTAAATCTAATTTTAACCCTCTTCAGTTTTTATATATATTAAGTGGGGGTTTTTAGCTCTATACAGGTAAAGTGTAGGAAATCTCTTTGGCAACATTTCCAAATTGTTTCTTTGGATGACAGGGATGAAAAAAATGTGTTTGGACAGGAGAGACATAAAGAATAAGACATACATATTAAGTAAGTTTCTATTTATGGCAACTAGCGCTTCCTTTTGGTGTCCATATATCCATATTCATTTATAAGTTGATTATAAGTGTATTGCAATCCCTGTGCTCGTGAGAAAGCTTGTAGCTCCCTAAACACCATAAGGCACATAAGAATTCCCACAACCACCCAAGTACCTCAAAGACAGAGGGCTAACTTTTCCCCCCCTTAACCTAAAGTTCATGAGAAAACTGATATTCAAGGATCAGTTCCCACCTGGCTAACAGCCAAAATTTCAGATAGAGCAGTTCGGCCCAGCCGCTCTCCGGATACCGAAGGATGGCGGCTGGAGCTCCGGGGCGCAGGCAAGGTCCGAGCTCACGCCAGGTGCGCGCACCCCGCCCCGTGGCCTACCCTACCCAGCGCAAACGTCAGTTACTCGCTAAGCAGCTGCGGGTTCCTTTCACTGATTATTCCAGGCAGTCCCCGAGCTCTTCCTCCCTCTCCCCCACCCCCGGCGAAAGCCTGCACCGTCCCCGCTCCGGCGGCCCTCGGGACTCCTTTCCGCCTTCCCGAGCCCGGAGCCGGAGGGGCCGAGAGAAACAGCCCGTACGCCCCGCTTTATATTTCAAAATCCCCGCGCTCGCGGCCGTCTCCGCCCACTC